TTTAGGTCCTCAAAGAATGGGCAGCAAACGAAATGGCTCGCATACAACAAGAAATGGCTGCGGCAGCTCGACCTGCAGCCGTACCACCCATGTTTAACCCGCTGTTTCCAGCTCCGAACCCATTAGCTGCTCATTTTGGACTGAATCCGCATTGTAATTGTAAGGATTATCTTATTATATTGAATATTTTTGTTATTAATTAAGACGTAGTTCTAGTGCCACCAGCTGGGATCTTTCCCACACCACTTAACGCGTTTAACTCGTTAGCGGCATTGAATCAGATGCGCCGCCCATTCGATGATGATGGTCCCAAGAAGAAAAGAAGCAAGGTACGGTAGCTATGATAAAGCGTCTTGTCCTACTTATTTATTAGTGGTAAATTTAGGTTACCGATAGTGTGCGAAAACTTAATGGTGGTACACCTATGGTTCGTGAAGGGTCACCAAGTAGCACGAGAAGCAGCCCTGTGGTGAGTTTGAAAAATTATTGATTTTATTGATTTTATGAATGATTTGTTGTCCTTTAGCTATCTCAAACAACGCCACTGTCAAATTACTTCCCACCTACCATGGTTGGTCATCCCTTGTACGGCGGTGCAACCTTTGGAGAAAGAGAAGGAAGTCCCACAAATTCGGATGAAACTAGTGAATGTGGAGGTTATGATGGAGGCCAAAGGTGGGTAAAGATGGTAGGGATGTAATTGGTCAGCTGAATATTGATTTTTTTTTTCAGCTCAACACTTACTCCTGTACACTTAAGAAAAGCCAAATTGATGTTTTTCTACACTCGTTACCCCAATTCCACCCTACTCAAGTCGTACTTCCCTGATGTACGATTTAATAAAAACAACACAGCACAATTGGTGAAATGGTTCAGCAATTTTAGGTGAGTCCTGAAGCGATTTCTTGGTTATTTTGTGTGTTTGCATAAGGAAGTGTGGTGGCGCGCATTTTCTTGTCATTTCCGTTCACGCCTTATTTGCTGCCAGATAAACGGCTAGGGAGAGCATCCCGCTGAGCGCGCGATTGACATGACGATAACGTACGAGTTTCTCAAAGATTTATGAAGGTGCCAGATGTAGTGA